AGATCCGTGGCCACATCGGTGATTCGCTTGACATGTGTTCCGTTAACTTGCTGGAGCTGGTTGAATTTGTTGTATAGGAGGTCATTGGTTATAGAGGATTGGAATCGTCCTTTCAAGTAATCGAGAACTGTAGATCCTCTTAATCTTACATTCCCGCCGAAGTCCTTATAGCATTGGTGGTATGCGTCGGTTGCCTTTCCTTCACAGAATGATCCAATGATAAGTCCAGTTGTAGGGTCTTCCACATCTTTTCCTTGTAAGAGTAGGAAGTGTGAGAGTTCTGTGGCCCATCGTTCAAAAGCTTCAGGTTTGAGGTCTTTCCCTTCGCCTGTGAATTTTGCTGGGAGGTGAAGTTTAAACTTAGGGGGTTCAAATGCTGCGGGTACCTCCTCTTCTTCAGGTCTTGCCCGAGATTTCCCTCCTCCAGAAGGCCCTCCTCCTGTGCTAGCCATATCTGAATCGCTACTAGATTCGGGGTCGTTTGGGAGTTCAAAGGAAGGCTTCTTTGCTGGAGTAGAAGGGAAGTCTCCTGGAGGTTGTGTATCTTCCGTGTTTGCCGGATCGCCGGGCTCTTTAGCAGAGCGCCGGGGTTGTTTCTTCCTAGTAAGGTCTTGCCGTGGGATTTGCTTCCCACTCCTGGTCATCAAAGACTCTATCTTGGGTTTGAGATGAAGCCGAATATACTGAAATTCTGCCGCTTCTCTCCGCTAGAGTTCTGAGGTGGATATCGATAGGTTGATCAGGCCTAAATCCGGGGACAGGTTCTTAACCACTTGCTGAGGTTAAAAAAATGTAACGTGTTCGCAAGGTGCTAATCACGTTTACGGTAAAAGGTACGATAGTTGGCAGGTGGCCTGCTCTTCCAGAGAGGAGGCGAGAGCTGATAACTAAAGGAGGCTTCGAGGGCGTACTGAGGAACAAAGAAGTAACTGTTCAACCAAGTATATTGAAATACTGTCTGTCGAAGTCTGCCTTTTCTATCGTAGAAACAGGCGGTCTTTAAATACACAAATCTGTTCATGTCTAGCATGAACGAAACTAATCAAGGGTATCAATTGATACTCTTTGGTAAAACTCTTTAAGTATCAAAGCGATACTTAAAACAAAACATAAAACAAAACCAAGTATCAAACAATACTTAAAACAAACCAAGTATCAAAACGATACTTAAAACAAAACATAAAACAAAACCAAGTATCAAACGATACTTAAAACAAACCAAGTATCAAAGCGATACTTAAAACAAAACATAAAACAAAACCAAGTATCAAACGATACTTAAAACAAACCAAGTATCAAAGCGATACTTAAAACAAAACATAAAACAAAACCAATAACCAAGTACCCGTACCGGTTACAGTTATTTGGGAAAGGGATGATTGGGGCACGATCTCAGCCAAAACCTATGTTGATCACATTCTTGTTTCTACAATTTGGCCATTCTGGTACCATGAGAGCTGCTGTATAAGTTCTTCTCTTTGGCTCATGGAGGATGGAGCATCATTTCATCAGGCCTGTCTTACACAATCCTACAGTGACTACTACAAAATCCCCTCCCTGAAATGGCCGCCATCTTTCCCCAATCTAAACCCTATCAAAAATATATGGAACCTGATCAGACTTGTGTCAACCAATACCAACGAAGACCTAAAGGCCAAATACAAGTCAAGGAAGCCTTAATCAATGAGTGGAGCAAGATCACAATTGAGGAAATTGTGAAGTTAGTCAACAGTATGCTGGAGCAGATCCAAGGTATGATCAGTACTAATGGTGGGCATACACAGTGGTGAGTGGACTGTAGAAAGCTGAAAGTGTCCTGTATTTTAGAGTTTAATTACAGATTCCTATATATCTTACCTCCCTGTCTGCTCCTTTGTCTTAACCTCCTGTTTCCTGATTTTTCTTGCTGGGGACTATATGTTAGGAATACCAGAACCCGATACCTAGGAACCACCCTATGTAGGGTAACCCCACTCAGAATCGGAATCTCTGGTCTCCAACACCCCCCTCTGGCTCTCTTACAGGGCCCACATGTCATCATATATATTAATCTCAGTTGCGTCCTGTGACTATATTACCACCGAGTTGAAGGTGTTAGAATAACACCATATACATCGTCGCCGTCTGTCCGACCGGATCCTGTTTGCAGGATATATGAGAGGGGACCTTCGGCTAGGTCTGAGAAGTGGAACGGAGTGATTCCGTCAACTACTCAGAGACTTACTTGGCTTCAAAGACATGACACCTTGGGTATGGGCTGTAGGTAACAGGACAATTTCGCACAAAGAGATGGTATCAAATGGTAAAGGATCTCTACTAGAGACCAATACATTTACATCCACCAGAAGAGTCTAGAACTCCTGAAAACACTACCAAAGAAGCCAATGAACTTCACGGAGTGTTGCAACTGGGTTTTGGAACATGTCGTAACTATGGGGTAATTTTGAATACTACAATAGTTACTGAAACCTACTACCCAGAGAGCAACCAAGAGTTGCTGACTGAGGGATTAATTACCAATCTGGTGGGATAGCTTCCTGCAAGTTAATAGGAAGTCTTCCAGGGAAAATCTATCTGTTGGGTATGAAGTTACAAAGGATCAGAGTTAGATGACCTATGATGGTTGTAATGATGACCACCTTTGCAGATATAGCCGCAGATAAAACTGATCATTTTATCAATGGCGAAGACAATTGGAGCCAACTTAGTTCAACTTAAGAACTAGGCCATAAGTCTAAAGACCCTGCTAATCGGGATATTACTATTGAGGACAGTACGTTTCCTAAGAAGAAATATCGTAATTATCAAAGAGGGTGTGATGGTTTTCAGGGTCTACAGGTGTTCACACCTTGGAAGAAAACTCGACATTGAGAATTACGATTGAAGAAGTACATAGTTGTATGATAAATAGATGTAGTCCGCAAACACTCAGACGCGGAATATAAATATCAAAGTGCCTCCCAAGCTTTAGACATCATCAAGCAACGGAGAGGAGACCTTAACAATATAATATTGTTTTTACGATTCTACCCTACTTTACCTATTTTACTTCGCTCCTAGTAGTCATAAACGAAACGAGTAAAGTCCGAGCCTTCCTAGACAATCTCCGTCTACAGAAACGAATCTCGATTGGCCTAGACAACCTTGAAGTCTATCAAATTGTCTCCGCCTAACACTATAACAATAGCGGTACTAGGGTAGATCATGAATTCATGGTACGGAGCAGGGGTGGTGCCAGATGTTTTAAGGTAGCACTTTGGTACACTACAACCGAAGCAACATTTCAACAGAAAAATATGTGTTATGGTGCAGAACCTCTTAAACTAAACCTTTACCAATATTTCCTCTCATCTCCAGTTGATGGTGTTTTTGGCTACAACATCCCTAGAAAAGAAATAAAATATTAAATAGTAGACCAATATATCCTCTAAATATGGGTAACAAAATTTCAAGGAATTGTACAAACCCCTTAACAGAATTTTGTATCAATCAATAGTTCCTAAAGTGTATAAAATGCAATCAGGATTTAAGGAGTTACTTACCACACTACAACCAGCCCCTAGGAGTGTTTATTTTTATGAGCTCATGAATTTATCAATATTCCTTATCATAGTTTTGCTTGATTGATCTTCCTGGTCCAAAGAGAAATCATTATTCTAATGATGTTTTATTTGAAGCGTACTACATCTACTGAGACATTACTAGTGCGGTGTACAGTACCATGAATTCATGATATACCCTAGTACTGGTGCTGCGCAAGTATCTTGAGATACCAATTGCCCGATTCAGTACTATGTCCTAATTTGTACTTGTGCTCGACATTTCTTAAAGTTTCCTGAATGTGAGTCGCGTGTCCGTATTCCCGAGCTACTGTACCCCCAGCGGAGATCTGGGCCGTGAAGCCCATGTTCCATAAGTTACCAGAAGATAACCATTGAACCAATTTCCGGCAATTACGATACCACAGTACAGTAAGCAATACACCCCCTCCCCACTCAAGCACCGTACCGTCAGTATCCCATTTCCCGATACGGGGATTTGGGGGGGTGTCGGGGACGTCGGATATACTCTGGGGGACCAGGAAAATACACAGCGGGAACCACCCCGGCTGTTCGTAGTCTAGCTTCACATGGCTCAGCCCCTGTTTGGAATGGGCTGCGTATTTCTGAGCTGCCAGGCGTAGCTTGCATTCCGCCATAATTTACCTAGCCAATGTGACTCAACCCCCCGAATCCAAGCTCCCTCTCCGTAGTCATCTTTTCCCTAACTCCGATAGCGTTACACACACCACTCAGTCTGGCCATATGTGCCATCTCACCTTCTGCACTAAGAAGGATAAAATAGTGCCAGAATCGCTTTCAAGATCATATACGGAAGGAAGGAGAGAGAGAAGGCTCTCATAGTGCACACTCGAGTAAGCACTCATGCACTTTCTGCAAGAAAGGTAGAGCGGTACAACCACTGCGGCACTGCGGTCAGGAATGCTCAACCATCACTCGGTTTTGGTCTCTCTCTTTTTTTTTTTCCCTTTCTTTCCACAAAACTCCTAGTTTACCCACCATTTCACGCTTCCGAATGGTTCAGGTGCAGAACCGCTGGTCGGTGAGAAGGAGAGTGGGGTGATACTTAGACTAGAGTTTGTTATCCCACCATAATATAAGCTTAGGAAGTATAAATATGGATCTCGGTGGAGTATATATCAGCAGAGAACACGAACCCTGAGATTTCTTCTCCCGTCTCAAAAGGTTTTCGGGGAAGGCTGGAAACTGCAAGGGTGTGGGATCTAACGCTCTTATCAAGGGAACCCGGCCTCACAAGCCTTGGGGATGCGGCTCCATCAAAATTCACACTTCATGCGGCGACCTCTTGTATGATGCTCTGCGATGCCCAGACCATTCACTAAAACTGCGGGGTGACGAATATGGCCACAGAGTTGGGAAACTGCTCATGGCGGTTCGTTCTTCAGCTACGCCGACAAAGGCTCTAGAGATTCGCGGACATAAACCCAAACACAGTACTAATTACCACACCAAATCCGTGAAATCTAACCTATCTATCGGTAACTGCCTGAACCCGGCTCCCCCTAATGCAATGCTCCCAGTAGTCTCTCTGAGAATATACGAAACCCTTTAAAACCCGACCCACAAACACAAAGAGACATGAGAGGAAGAAAGAAAGACAACCAAGAGAGAGAGTGAAGAGGTATATGCTACAGTACATCAAACGCTAAATTCGCCGGTAAAATTCTCTAGACTAATGCCGGGCCCTCATGCTTAGCCTCATCCAATTCGTCTAGGATTGCTTGAATAAAGGCTTTGATCTTTGAGACCTCCCATCTCTCTCCACCAATCCCGCAACAGCCTTTGATGACCCTAGCGACTCTCTGGCTTTTGAGTTCGATATCCTTTGGAACCTGACCACCTTCGGAAAGCTTGGACAAGACTTCCACACGTTCCATACCTGAGGGAAGTCAGCAAATGCAACACCACGTTATAGAAGGGCTTCTGAATCAACTTACGAGTCCCGAACTTCACAAGCAATTCTAGCAGTATAACTCCCAACGCAAAAACATCTCTTCCAACAACGTCACCTTGAATGGCGGGATCGAGATCCACAGGCTTGTAAAACTTAGTACCGACAGCCGCCGTGCTGTCATGACCATCTTTGCCAATACTAGTCCCAAGTCCGAAGTCCCCAATATGCGGTCGAACCACAGCTTCTCCGCAACGACAGCCCCTCCTAGAAGGTTCAACGTCTAGGAATATATTACCAGGTTTTAAATCCCGATGCGCAATCCCTTGAGAATGAAGATACTGGACACCGTCTAGAAGGCCTAAGAATATGTCGAGTGACGACTTGACGCAGAAACAATGCCTTGGGGTAGTGGGGCGAGCAGATGTCGAGATAAACGAAGTAAGGGTAAACGAGTGAAGGGACATCTGGATATAGAGAGTCAGGCCAGAAGATGTAGAGGACGGTTTTTTCCCATGACCATTGGCAGTAGACATAATTAGTGCCCCACCACCGGAGAAGATACTTGATCCTGAGACCTCGGGCCCTGAGAACTCGGACCCTGGGTCAGGGTGCGATGAGATATCGAATGCGACTTTCGGTTTTCCATGCTGCGCGTCGGGCTGGCTACGGCGGCGTCTAAGATAGGATCTGGGAATTAACTCAATAGAATCTTCCAAATCATCGCTGGCTTGACCGTTGGCACCGGCGATGGTGGTAGCCTCCTCAACCGTTTCGATCCCCTCGTTTTCCCCAGAATAAGCGAATACTATTTCAGCACCGATGTCTTCAATCTCGCTTAAAACCTCTGCTTTAGGTGACCGATGGCCTTGCGCATTTTGAACCCCCACGTGATCTCCGATGAACTGGGAAGCAGTCAACATGTCTTCAATCACGCCCTCAATCCAACTGCAGAAGTAACGAACGATGCCAACATGATTGAGCTGTGCCAGTGTCTTGATTTCATTCATAACTCTCTCCAGACCATCCTTCCCACCTAGCTCATTTTCAAGGATACTTTTCTTAATAACGACCTTCTTAACCGCGTATTCGACCCTATCAAGGCGATTACGAACATGATAAACTGAACCATAACCCCCCCTGCCCAACGGTGCGATCTCAACAAAGTCATTAACGTAACGAGACGGTAATAGAATGGTTGGTTGAATTGTCGCGGGAGTGGTTTGCGCATGTGGAGGCAAAAAGGGTGGGGTGGCAGTTCCAGCAACGGCTCCGGGAGCTGTGTCGGAGCTGTTTTTGCGGGCATCGCTCAGAACACTCAGTGAAGAGCTCCGATGGATAACCTGACGGTCATTAGGACTCAGGTTTTGAGTAGCAGTGCCTCTAAAAAGACGACGAAAGGTACGTCTCGTCTCAGCCCCATTACTAGATTCTGCTCCTCTCCTTCCCAAATCGCCAGCCAAGACTCTTGCAGCCCCATTTTCCTCGGTGATCTTTTCAATCTCTTGCGTCAGAATTTGGTCGAGGCCACGAATATAGCCTTGTCTAACGGGTGCAAGGCCTTCGCGTGCCAGATCCCCGCTGGTCTGGGGAACAAAACCTAGATTTCCAAGATGACGAGCGATAACGGCGAACACCCTATCAGCGAGTTCCGGATCTGAAGCTGGCACCCGGGATCTCACAAAGTGTTCTATCAAAGAGTTCATCAAGATGGCGCTATGGCGATTGGCCGAAGTTGTCGGGGGGATTGGAGAATAGAGTGTCACAGGGTTCACAGGCTCAAGCGCCTGTTCCGGGGTCCCCGCAGTCGGCTGACGAGAGGGATCTGAAGATGTGGATGGTGGGTCAGAAGATGGATCAACTTCATCCTCCGAAGAGGACGAAATCTCCGAAGGTTTACGAAACATGAGATTAATTGCCGAGATTGCGTGAGCGAGGTCTTAATCGGGAGCGCTTTACGGTTTGTGGAGATGGTGAGAAGGGAGGTATGTTTGAGATGGAACGAAGGATGAAGACGACGACTATCTCACAGATCAAGTCATCGTTAAATGGGGGGACTCGGCGCAGGACTCCCCAACCGCCGTTCTATTCGTCGGGGTCTATCCGTCGGGGTTTCTGTGCTGTCGCTACGGCGACGAAGTTGAAGGCTGGAGGTTGGAGTTGCAATGTGGATGGGCAACACGTATAAAGTAGTATCAATCTGGGGAGACGCGTTATTCGTGATGATAATGATGAGGCTCAAGGAATAAAACAACCGCTTTCGTCTGAAGCCACGGCTTCGTATGAGAGAAAGAAATCTCCAAATACCCGTATAATATACAAAGCCAGTCCTGCTGCAGTTTGTCCCCCTTTATCCTGTGAGATTTAGCAAGAGCAATGTCGAGTAGATGACACGATTTGGTAGAAGACTGTCGAATCCCGAAGATTCAATAGAATCCCGCCGATGTGAAACAGTGCAAGATAAGGTTGGGCCTTAGATCAGAATCTATGCTCAGTCTACTCCTTGTTATGATAAAGCGGGTGAGCCCTCAGCGAGGCACCACATGTCTTGGCGACAACCAAACCACATTTCACATAGAGCAACCAAATTCTTTTTTCTTTTTTCTCTTTTCTCAATACAACCTTCCCAATACCAACATCAGATTGCCTCCAGAGTATCAATCTACTTTGGAGGTTTTAACAACAAACCAGTGACAAGTCCACTGATTCAAGTTCCTTTCTGGGAGCAGAGGCTTAATCGGCCTCTGCTCCCTCTTCAAAACCTTCTTCTAGTTCGCGCTTATCAAATCCACTTTCTACCTCTTCCTCTGGACTTCCAATCAACCTTCTGGCCTCTCCTACATCTTGCATCAATTCTTCAAGATGTTTCTCGAATTTCTTCACCCTCCACTCGGCTTTAGCAACCTGTTCAACAAGTTAACCTCCTTCCTCTAATAGGGTAGATCCTGTTTTTCTTCACTTTGGTAGGTTTCCCTCTTCTTCTAACCTTTCTACCTCTGTTCTTTTCCTTATACATTCACCTAATTTTTGTTTTCTCACGGTGACTAGATGGATTGCATTATCATATCTCTTTTGAGTAACTTTGCGTTCCTCATTTGTTTGGAATTCAAAGAATCGTGCAATGTCCTCACACTCTATCTATGTCTTTCCTGCTATTGGTATTCTTGTTTGATTTGTAGTCTTTTTATGTTGAATTTGGACTAACTGTTGCTTTAGATTCTGCAGTTGACGTTCATTCTCTTCCACTTCCATGAGTGCTCTAGTTGCACTAACTACCAAATTACTAATTATCTTTTTTAGTCCCCAGTCTGTTGGAGTGTTTTGTGGTAAGGTTACAAGTGCGATCAATTCCTGTCTTTGGATTTCAACCTTACTTTGAGGTACCTCTAAGCTATCAATCTCCTGTGCTGTGAAGTTGCTTAATGGCTTGGAACTAGGAGATCTTGGTGGGATAGGTGGAGAAATGCTTAGTTGGATAGCTGTAGAGCTAGGATTTTCGGATGTCAAATAAGCTTCGGGGGAAATAGGTTGCATGGATTGGACTTTTGTGATAATTATTTGTCAGTTGATGGGAACAAGTACAGTATTTCAGAATCCACTCAGAATATTGACTTGGGTAAATTATGCTCGTCGTGCTATTATGAGGATCTCATAAAAGTTGTCTTTAAAGACTCCATACTCATTTTTCTCAAAACGGCAGGTGAGTTCTTTTCGATACTGATGCTTGTACGGACTAAAAATACAAACATCTAGAGGTTGCAATCGGTGTGTCGTATGGGGAAGAAGACAATAGGGAATAATCTTATGTGCAATACAGAATTCTAAAAATCTAATATTGATGTGACTGCTGTGCCCATCGAAAAGTAAAAGTTGAGAATTATCTCCCGCCTTTTATGCAGAAAAGCTATCAGGTCCGAAGTTTCGTTGTAGGTATTCGTAAGCTATATTTTCATTGGTCTACCCATTATGTGAATGTCCAAAAAGTATATCTTCTGGTACACCTTTTACCTTTCCAAACCATAGAGCTATAAACTCTTCTGCCTTTAGGATAATTGTTGAATTTAGAGATGTTCCATCTGCACAGATACCTTCAATAACTGTAACAAACTCTCATATACCATCTGATATATTGTAAGTACTTTTTCTTATCAATCTATTTTTAATATATACTAATTGAAAACTTACTTTGAGCATGATATTTCAATTTTCCATTCTCTCTTGGGTTTCTTATCACCTCCAATACATGTTCTGACTGACTAAGCCCCAGTAGAAATCCAACCTCATCAATGATATATGTATTTTCAGAATTTATTTCGTGCTTACTGATAATAGCTTTTAACTAAATATATAATCCAGAGTTAATATTTAATTTAAATTAAAACTAATTCAACTTAAAGTTATAATAAATTTTGAAAACTTGAATAGAAAACTATATTGACATATGAAATTAAAAAAATAATAATAATAAAATACCTCATCAAAGAAGCGATTCATTAATTCAAGATTATTTCCACGAATATTTCTGATAAAGTCCAACTGTTGACTAAATCATGTTTTCACCTCCGGATGCCTTTTCCTAAACTCCTCTTTCCATCTCTTGCCTAACCTCTCACTCGGATTTCTCCTTTGTACAACAGAGGTGGCAATTTCTTATAATTGTCATATTGTCGGAGGAAATCCCAACCCGCAGCGAAAGTAGCAGCGCTCAATCACAATCCTCTCCTCTTCCGGCAACAGCTTTTGCCTTCACTGTTCCTCCTCCTCTCGGTTTCTTCTTCCCTTCTGCTGATGCATAACCGTACTAGGTGCTGCCCCAACCATTGCTGCCACACTTCGAAGACTCGGAGCAGTTTCCACTGTGGCCATCTCAATAGCCATTTGTTCACCTACTTGGACTGGAACCGGATTCTTGTTTGGCACCATTATTGAAGTACTCTGGATAAAGGAGATTGAATCTTGTATTTGTTGGTACGTTTACTCTAGATTTTGTTATAAAATTTCATTTACTGATTGCGCTAAAATGCCAGGTCTCATAGTGCCTCGCTGAGGGCTCACCCGCTTTACTGTGTGCGCGCGCAGTTACAGTCATTGAGGTTGGCAGGTATCCGCAATACGCAAGTCAGTGAACTATTCGGAATGATTGGGCCCTGCGCACATCTCCGAACGTCTTCCAATTCTCTGGTTCTAGTATCATACCTACCCGGGGCCGGACGAGATATTAGACTACGCCTATGCCAAACACCCATACTTTAAAAAATATTTGTATTTTTTAAAAATACATATTATTGTCTTGTATGCAGCCAATTATACTAGTAATCATAAAACATATGATGTACACGCCGAACATTCCCTTATTCATGAATGCTCGTGGGAGAAGCTAACCCTGTGTATAACTACCCATGATACCTTTGAATTATGCTCCGATCCCAAAACATAGAAGGGATCACTATAGGAGGTATACCGCACCAGTCTATCACCTCGAGCGGTCAAAATTGCTGACGAGGTTTTTAGGTAAATTGTCAAGACAGCCATGCCGATGCCAATGAAACTGGGTAAAGGTAGCTCATATTTCACGCTTTTTATTTTTACTAGTTTCAGGGGTTTCGATATAGGCACGCGAGAGGCGGATACAGTATCGAAGGCTTATATTGCGGGGTCCTCTCAAGGCGAGCATCCTAAAACCCAAGGAAAGATAAAGCAAAAGCACAGAATCTCCCCAGCCGATTCCATACTTATGGTTACCCAGGTTTTACCGGGGATAACTTCTACCGCCGCTGACAGAATCCGATTTTACTGGGATCCTCCGCTGGGATTGGACAGTTTACCGTCCCAAGTGCCGTAACTATTAGTATAGCAGATTAGGATATATTTTCTAGAGCTGTGCAGTATTCTAGGTTCAATTGGAAAGTTAATGCGCGACAATATCTCTAACACCCACTTGTAGAGCAGCTAGAGTTTCTGGCCCGTTTCCTCCCGTAAAGAGTCCTCGACAAGGATAAAACGGACTCCTTCAATAAGGGTTTTACTGCGGACTCCGTTTGTAAGAATCCTAGAGTGCAAGATCAAGAGACGCCATTGTTCAAAAAGTCGAGTGATAATCCGTGAGTCGATAAGTGATCAACGCTTTGTCCAGAACCGAGAACAGCACTTGAAAGACTCTACTAAGACTCTGGCTAGAGTACAGAAAGGTGGCAAAAACTTGTGTTCTTGGCTACTTTACACCGGAAACTGGTTGTTTTCCGAAACTCATAGCTCGACACTGCACAAGAGATTTCAAGAAGCTGTAGGATCATGGGAGCAACTACTTCTTTCCATAATAGAAGTGGAGGGCCTATAAATTGATAGCTTGGGATGCCTTACACTATTGTATAGTGAGATCTAAAGGTAACTCGGGGAATTGTACAGGAGCCACACAAAAGATACCGGCCGCCTTTATTCAAGGTTATCGGTTGTTGCTCAATTCCATAAACCTTCCATCATATCCAGTTTCCCTTGCAGCCAACTGCCCCCCCTACTTGTTTCCCGGTTTGAATTGGCCTAAAATGGGGCTCCCGAGTCCGTCAGGGACCAGAAGACGGTCAGTGGAGAGGGCTCGGTTCCGAAAAAAAGAGGGCCACCTATGATATGACACCTGAGTTTCTATCCCTAGTGCTATACTTTTGATGTACCCTGGGCTTAGTGGTGGCAGCCCTATAACCTATGCTGCTACCCAACAGTCGAAGTATGATAGCCGCCCTACCGTCTCTAGTTGGGTCCAAGAACCGGCTGCTTTTGCCTTAGATGTTAGTAAGGAATCATCCCTTTTGGTGTTGCCTTTTATCAAAGTGCTCTGCTAATACCAAAAGTTTGACAATTTATTCACCAATCATGGTGACCATTCTAGACACCTGATACCTACCTGCAGAAACTCTGTTTCTTAATACCCCCTAAGGTTGCTGCCCTGGCCAATGCGCACGGCTAGTATATTATATCAGCCATTAGAAGAGGGTTAGTGAGCTGTACCATTACCGCTCTAATTTAATTTCTAGTCTATAGTATGTAATTTTTTCATTTAATATCCCCCTTTTGCTTTGCGAAGGAAGCATAGGATCCCGTTGTAACTTAGAGTATAGCACGGATAGTGCCTCAGCTGGAGCCTTCGTCAAGACTTTTGTCTAGTGACTGTAACCGCCCTTTACTAGTATGCGAAGTATCTACCGTAGTTCTGTGCAGTTCATTAGTATAATACTTTTTAGGTGCGTCCACGTCTGGCCTAGTACTTTAATTCTTAGAAACTAGGCTGGAATGCCGACTGACAGGAGATCAAGCGAGCGTAGAATATGTAGTCCAAAATCTGATCTATGCCCTCTATCAATAGAGATACGATACCGGTACCTTATTCTTGAAAGAGATCAAAAACCTACATAAGAAGCAAATGACACCAAGTTGAGCTCAATACGTAATCTGAATTTCACCATTATCACTCGAGCTATTTTCTCCACTGCTTCTAGTGTTTCTCATTGGGTGAGGATCTTGATCAAGCCTTGGGGCTTATTTGTGCCATGAGGGCCGCCGCGCCTTCTTAACGGCTTCCTTAGACGGAGCAGATCTCATGGCTTGAGCTCAACCCCAGAAACCTCAAGTAAAGTTATTATATATCAGGCTGAATTACCCCACTCAGCTGATAAAGTGGTAGCGTCCTAAATCAAACGTCCTAGACTGGGCCAAGAATCGGTTTAGTTTTCTGTTCTCGGTTAATACTTGACCCTTTTTCCTGCTGATCAATAGTTGAAGATGCTGGCTGTGAACTCCTACGCTGTAGCAGCATCCCGAAACCGTTAGCGGCACTAAACCTTACAAGCACTTAGTGGGGAATGACTAAGCTTCAAGGTAATCAACCTGTGCACCATGTGTTGCCTTGCATCCCTTGTTTTTTTTACTCATAATGCTGTCTGGATAAAGATAAGATACCTTTTAGGTAGCGATACCTGGGTTGACCGCCGATGCTTAATCTGTGACAATCCAAGCTCCATGGTGTATTCTAGGTCACTATGGGGGAATGGGGTTGGGCCAAAAAAAAAAAAAAATACGCAGCGAGAGGCACAGTAGAGAGCTTCCCAAGGGGATTGCGCAAGAGAGAGGAATGATATAAGTCTGAGCGGTCCGTCTGCGCCGAACTTGAGATGTGAATAGAAGGACTTCGCAAAGTTGAGTAAGGTATTGGCTTTCTTCTTCATACCAGAACCTGAAGATGACACCAATATGTATAGGATAAGTAATATCTATGGTACAATATTCTTGGGTAGGGATTTCGCATACCTGGATCATCAAGACTTACCAATCAATGATGCACACTGCCTTTGGCACAATTGGAGGTACTCTTTTCGTCTCGGCATTAGTTCCATGAGGGCCACGGATTGGAACCCGACAATTCATGGACTGTTTCGGTTCGCCCAATTCATGCCTCCGAGGGGATGTGTTTTTCTCTTTCCTTCCTTCCTTCAAACCAATCTACTCAGGTACTAAGGATGCCGAAGGACAAATTACCACTTCAATATTAGATGGGCCCTTTGCTGGTGCTGTGCGTGCTGGATATCTTTCCGATGTACTAGGTCTAAAACATGCCTTGCTTGTCACCTCCATTGTTTGGGCTATCGGATCTGTGGTCACCTTAAGTGCCTAGAATGTCGCCAATCTGGTCGCTAGTCGTGCTACCAACGGGTTAGCTGGTCAGTACCAACAAACCTACCAGTATACCACATTCCCATATTTTAACATCTCAATTGTATAGTTGGTGTAATGTACCGTACGTCTCCCTAAGCCCCTGTTTACTCCACCGAACTTTCCCTAAAAAACATCCTTGACTGAATCCTTGGTGCCCAGGAATATCCTATTGTTGCACTTTTATTAACGGGCAAGAACCTTTTAGATCAGCTTGAGGAATTCAAGCTATCCCTGCGCTATTATTGATCGCTACACTATTCTTCCCAGAGTCTCCACGTTAGTACATCTAGAAGGATTTCCGGGATGAGGCACTCGGTGTTCTTGCTCTGCTATATGGGGAGGGCAACATCCACGACCCACTAGTGTAGGTAGAGTTTGAAGAAGTGCTTAAGGCGCAAGCACTTGCTGCCCCTATAAGCGAACTGACAATCATGGGGTTGTTTGGGCCCAATATTCGGAGGTGGACTGTGTACTCGAGTACGCCTCTACCCATCCAATCCCACACCCTACCCTCTGCCAGCGCATTAATCGGTACCAAGCTCCTGTCTTTTCTGTAAAATCTAGCAACAGCTTCTCGGAGGCAATGTTATGATGTACTATATCGTATGTCTTCAACCCGGCCAAACTCACTAGAAATGTTAACTTCATGTCATCCTCGATCCAGTGCCACCACCGCGGCTACACTCCTTCTATTCGTGGACCTCCTGGGTGGTCGCCTATTGTTCCTCTGTGGCGGTATTGCTAGGGAGCCAAACTTTGCCATCGCTGGGTTGATCAAGACTGGTGGTCACCGCATCGAAGAAGTTGGCGGAAATGCAAACATCAAGTTGAGGGTTCTAGGAAGCTATGCGACAGGTGTAGTCGCCTGCAGTTATCATATGATACCATACACAAATATTTATGGCCTTTTATGGACTTGAGTTTGCTACCTGTATTATAAACTAACCCTCAACATAACCTAAACGCAACATATAACTCTAGTGCCTGCCGCCTATATTTTCATATCTAAAAATCTTCCCTCTTCAATGGCATGCTAAGTAGGTGGGTGTATCTACTGCCGTGGGTTGGGTCTCCAACTTCGCCCTTGAGTACTTTGCCCCTCCAGCTTTCCATAACACCCAATGGCTTGCGTAAATCACCTTCGGTGTGTTCTGCTTCTGTGGTGTATTACACAGTTATCGCACGTTCCCTGAGGAATTTCCCACTGCTAACATATCTTAGATGATATTCAAATGCTGCAATACTACACCAGGTTAGTGAAATCTCATTTAACCCCTAAGAAGGAAGTAGGAATTCCAGATTGGCTATTAAAATTATGATATCATAGTAGAAAAAAGCCAGGAGAATTCCATTCCTTTGCTTTTGGTGGGGTTCCGTTTGCGCAAGTTTTGTCACACTCTAAATTAACAGACTAGCGCCTGTTTCTCTTATTTAGGTTAATACGGTATGATACCCGGGGAAAAGAAACATACCATTTTACTGAGGTGTGTGGATTGCTGACCCAGTAAATGATAACATGGGGAAATGTACTCAAATGAGGTATCATACCCAGAGTTCCTATCCGATATTTGTATTAGTGATATCATAGATCTTGTTGAGGGATGGAAATCATAGTCCGCCACTCACCAAACTTTGGCTAAAGGTATTGTAAGACGGAGGAAATTATCAGACCAGAGGTTGTTCAGATCAAGATAAGAAGATTTAAAAGACACAAGAGTAATTGTGTTAGGGGAGAAGAAGTTCGTTGATTGTTCAATAATGTGAGGCGGACAAGGCAAAAACAAAGTTCTTAATGCTAGTGCATTTGTACTCGTAGGTACGCACTTATGTGGATATTTACAGCACAAGAGACTACTTGCAGAGTGGGAAGTGCTAGTAAAATGAGCACTTGTTCCATTAGCTGTTCCCAATATCTACACCAAATTGAAGGCGTTTTGAATCTTCTACTCTTGAATAATCCAACTTCTGCACAGCGTGATCTTGCAATAATTCCCTCCATAGCCCCACGACATCCATCCTCCTAACCACCCCAAAAATCACTAATAGCCCCATATCCACCACAAACACCCCTACACTTTCGGTCATTTGAAATACACCTGGTTTACCAAATCGCACCACCGGAATCTCTCCAGCCGAACCTACAGCACCATTGGCCAATCCATCAATCAAAGTCTCCCCCCTCCCCTCTATCCCCCAACCTCTTCAAAATCCCATCATTCCTTTCCGAGCCATAAGTAACACAACTCCACCCTTACACTCCCGATCTCCAATCACGTTCGCAACGTTTGATGTGACCTCTCCTTTCTGCCCCAGCGCCCCAAGCGATTTCGCCACACCCAGATCGAGCCTTCGGAAAGGTTAATTGGTGCAGAGTGCAGTATAGAGCGGTATAGTAGGTGACACGACATACGGACCACAGCATTTCAACCTTTGTCCCTTATGTTAGGGACCCAGGCCCGCCCTTGCTAGGCGCTAGGCGAGCGGTGGTGGCATAGCACTGCGCAAATGCAGTTCGGGGGTCTAGATATGGTTAGTGGGAGATTATTATGGGATGTAATGGGATTGTCATGTATTGGGAGTAGGGTAACAAGTTATAAAGTGTGATACTAGTGTGACTAGTGGAGCACAATACCTCGTGATACGGGGCCATCGGGACTTGAAGCTGTACTGCTTCTTTTATTGTCGATAAGAAACTTCGGGTGTTCTCTTTAGGTTTGACGTCGTATATTCCTTTGGGTCGGATTTGATGCCTTTTTTGTGAGCGGTATGATACCTTGGGTGATCAGAATGGAGTAGGAAGAGAGAGGTCCCGGGATCAAGCAAGCTGCGGTTCATGTCATAGGACTAATCAGTACTTCAGTCTTAGTTATCACCCTGCGGTTCCAAGGAATCGCTGTATAATACAAGTGTAGTATTAGGTCAATGATTTGACCCACAGCAAGCTGGTGCTGCCCGAGCCGATAGCGCTTCATCCCTGTATCTAGCTGCCCCTGTGAGTTTCGGGTAATCGTCTTTGAATATAGCATTTCTATCATCTTTTGACTATGCCGTGCAATTCTTCAATATGCCTGCCGGTGTATCCGAGAAAGCCGTTCCCGGAGGAAATATAAATATTCACAGCGCAAATACCCCAAAATGGAAGTCTGGATTCGATAGCTGGAACTCTGTTGCGAGTCCGGACCCCCTTTGGCCACCACACAGCGCCAAACCCTACTGACCTACGCCTTCAAAGGAGCAAGAAAAGAGGCTGGAAAGTTGCCATAGAGGAGGTTGCTGAATCCCAATGGGCGATTTTCGAAGCTAGTTTGCCTCCCAGATATATGTCTTTGAGGAATAATGGTGTTGATATGTATACACTTTGCAACCATTATAGAAAACGATAACATTATGGTCATTTTCTTAGTATCTGAGTCCAGAATGCGCTGGGTGGGGTTAACTTCGTGGAAATGATAATAAAACTCTAGAAGCGGTCTAAGTTTCCCCTGTGATACTATGATATCATACTTAGTCCGGGATGTATTGATCGCAGCGAGACCCCTTAGTGGTACCCAGTCCACAACGGTGAGCCGGCGAACCTAAGCAATCAGGAAGGTCCTGGGATAAGAAGCTGTGAAAATCGAGCTCGAACAAATTGCCTCCAGAAGTACCGTAGCCTCAAATAGCGGGGTATGGCGGAACGAAATTACATACACCGGTGGAGGGGGGAATATGCAGCAGAAATTGTGGTGGTGTTTATAGCCTCACCTGGTTCGATTCCATCAAAGCTCTTACAGGGATAGAGTATTTTTACCCGTCAGTGAGGGGTTTCTTCCAATAATGGTAGTTGTTGACCTTTTAACCAAACTTTGTTATCTAATTCCTTGCCGAATAGCTATTAAAATGGTCAATGACAAAAACTTTCCTCGAAAGTCTCTCTTCGGCGTCTCACTATCGGGGCAAAATATATCAGCTATCTATCATCCTATGACTAGTAGGCAGACCAAGTGACTTAAGGTTGTTGTTGAGCTGTACTTGATACACTATTCAGTATTGGAAATCATCGCACCATATAGCATATAGAATTCTACATAGCATCTCATTCGAGTAGTATAACGACTGAGGATAACAATACTTTCTCAGCATTTGTCACATATAGACTTTAAATCTACATCTAGTAAATATTGTTAATATAAAACTTAGGTATTAATGTTGTATTTACTACTGAAATTTTGTTACTACATTAAGGTATTATACTCAGAGATGGAAGTAAAAGTGGAGTTTCTCAAGCAATCTTACTATTACAAGTACTCAGCTAGTCAAGATTATTGAAAAGATTGGCATTAGAGGTAGCCACACCAAGTGGTAGTTTGTCTCCTTTCCTGTACTCAATTGCTCTTGTCGCCTTTTCAAGTGAGATACTTTGTATGGGAATTGTCACCTTAGGTGTCTGGCACCGGCATCACAAATTGCTCGATCGTATTTTTTATTTTTATTTTTCATCCACCCTCTTAGCTGCTTGGTTTTTCATTTATCTGCTTGGATGCCTGACGTCAACTGAGCTGGGAAAAATCTTGTTTGATCATTTAACTGTTTTATTACTTGATAGTTTATTTTTCTCATTGATAGTTTTTTTTTTTTTTTCATTTATCCACTTACTTGCTCCACCGCCGAATTGTTGAATTGTTTACTCACTTGATTGCTTTCAAGTTACTGCTTGATTATTGAATTCCTCACTCACTTGATTGCTTAATTTTTGTTCGTTAAATTACTTTATGCAATCCAATCTAACTTAACCTTTTCCTCTCTATGTTCAAGTCTGTAGAGTTTTGTAGCTATTATACTCCGGAGTTTTGACCTCCTCCGCCCCCCTTTATTTTTCATGTCAACAGTACGATTCCCAAAATCCCTTGTTCCTATCCCTGTTTTGCTCAATTTTACTTCCATCTCCGAGTACTAGTGCTAGTACAGTTGCTATGGACTGCGGGGAAACCTAGTAGGGACACCAGCACTATACTATACTGTACAGTACTCTGCGTCTGCTGCAACGCTTGCAGCCGGACCCACGGCACCATACTGCAACTGAGCAGTGTTAATCTGAGCTTCGTTGATACCAAGCATTCAAACCTCCCTAATGGGAGCGAGCCACCATCGCCCACCGAAACCGGCGATCCAGGCGATGAGTGCAAAACAGACCCGCAGAAGGAGCAAAGACCGACGATCAGGGTCTTCGGCGAATCTTGCCAAGTTAAGTTTTACTGCATGACAACCCTTCCAACCATTTTACTGCAGGACGGGCTCTTTTAGGGACGCTGCGTTTCGCTATAACGAACGCCAAGTTTTGGATATATTGTAGTACTGCTATTCGTCCCAGGAAAGAAGTCAGGTACAGTATGGTGTCCCAAGTTTACCGGTAATCTCGCCTCCGCTGCTCGGACATTCCCGCCAGCTCAGGTGAAATGTTGACTAGCCTATTTTGGTAACGGTGATAAGAAAAGCTTAGTTGCTCCAAAGAGGTGTAGTTTTCAGAATTCCGCAAAATCTGTGCTGCCCAGCATGGTCACTTTCGAAAAGTGAAAGCCCCGCCATATTCACTCCTGATTACTCGAGTACTCAAAACAGTCGTGTTCAACATTTTAAATTAGACTCCTGTGCCTCAGCAGCCTAAGAGATAGTGATGGGATTAGCGCAGCGAGAATACCGGTGGAGTCATTTAGGCCTGGGGTTAAGAACGTTTATGCGGGTTTTTCAAGTGAAGGGACCTTTCGGTGTGTGACGTCTTCCCTGCATACAAATCTGGAGTCACCCCCGAAACCTAGCACCAGAAAGATGCTTTTTCGATCCTGGGGCTGCATGCCTCTAGTACGGGAATTACAGGACGAGGGCGATAAGTGTGAGTGGGACCTAAGGAGGAAGACGGGGGGGGAAACGCGGAAGTAAGTGGAAGGGAGTGAATCCGTGGACGAGGCGGAGTGAATTTTGAGAATTGGAACTGCAACCTCGGAGCCACGGCCAGCTTCGTGTACTGTACTGTACACCCATCCAATTCAACTTGTACCTTTTCGTTAGAGTGACGGTTTTTGTAGGCAATCGAACCCCTGCTGAATCTTTTCATTATAGAATAGAAAAAGGACGTTATAAGGAGGTGCTAATATGCTGGTACCTTCCCCGGTCAAGTACCGTACCCGAAAACATGGGAGGTACATTTTATATGGGCGCTCAGATATGCGCAGATATTTTATAATACCACATATCCCTTGAGTCCCTATTTTCGGGCACTGTACTGGAGTACTTCTTGCCCGAGACAAGCTCTAGCGCGGAAGCAGCGGAAACGGTGGCGCATAATAGTTCGCTCCTTCGAAGACAAAAGGAAAAGAGATCCTGCCCACCACTTCCTTGTTAATTCATTCAATACCGGTAGAGGTTTGCCATTGAGCCGCGGGGATTATTGCCTCGGCTATTGTGGTCAATAGGCCGCATCAACTGGCGAGATTCTCTTACCGTCAGTAGAGCACTGTACTCGAGCACAGCACTTGGGTAGTCCACAGTGGATTGAAATAAAGTCGGAGGTGAAGTAAAAACCTCCAGTTCAGTCCAGAATAGGCCCGGCTCTGGCCATAAAAAGTGGAGAGAACGCGTTTTGTTGCCACTTGAGACGGATTATAAGGAAATCCCTATTTCAGCGTACTGTACAGTACTTGACAGTACCAGCGGCAAGCGAATCTCGCCCGTTAATCCTGTAAATTAACCCGCGCCGTGCTGCGCTCAACTCAGCTCTCTGCCTCTCTGCCGAGTAGATGGTGAGCGGTATTAGGATATGATGACCAAGTGGCGCGGTCCCCCGATCTGTAAACAGCACGCCCAATCTCTCGCTTCCGCTAAAATATCCTCTCAGGGTTTATTATCGAACCAAGACAAAGCTCAATGCCGGTATCTGCAGGCTAACGCTTATCCACATATTTGTGGAGTTGGTCTTACCACCGGAGCTGCAACGTCCCCCGCAAAATCTACTCGTAAGGTAATATTGAGCCTTTGAGTAGGCTAGCTTTTTGACGGGCCTTCACCCCGTCAGGGGCAATTAGATCTTCGTCCACATATTCAAGCCTTCCTTGCAGAGGCGGTAGGATTGATCCCGTTTACAACTGGGTTTGCATGAGAATGAACTTGATATGAGAGCAGGGCACTCGAGTTGTAAGAGCTAGGACTTTAGGAACCGAGAAATACACCTCTAACACTCTTGTTACCATACTACTGATTGGCCTTCAATCAACAAGAATCCCAAACTCACAGCTTGGAATTAGTTTGCCTACCTTACTACGATGTACCCTCGACCGTGTACAACATTTCCAATGCCCTCAAAAAATTCAACCGATGACGAGAGATCCAGCGGTCGGGGGCCAGGTATCACAAAATAATCTCTAAGCAGCGGTACTCTGTTTGCATGATGCAAACTTCCGCAGGTTTGTCCGCAGGACGGGTGCTTGTGCGTTTGTCGTGTCGTGGAATAAAACGGCACCGAAGTCGTTGGTTAAAGAGTAGGATAACCACGACGCTTGCGCTCTCCCCCTTCTCTACCAAGTCATCCCATAGTACTTCCTAGAGACACAGGCTTCTGCAAAACTCCGTTCAATTCAGTCTATCTCCCTATACCCAAGTCCCATCCTCCCTCTCTCTCCTCTTAGAGCTTCATCTCCATAACACTTATCCCAACCACATACACTCTAATCTCCATCGACTCGGCACCCGGAGTGCTCCTGTAAGTATCCTACCAAACTAAGTTAACCAGATATTTCCATTGACTATTTCTCAGAAACCAGATCTGAACGAATTCCCGACTCGTTCTCATAGCTCTCTTGTCTCAATGGAATCTCCAAGGCCTGGCCGCTGCTGCTCAAGGGAAGAATGCGACGAAAACCCCCCTCGTAGCTCTCTTGTCTCAATGGGATCTCCAGAACCTCGTCGCTGCTGCTCGAGGGAAGAATGCGACAAAAAAACCCCTCATAGCTCTCTTGTCTCGACGGGATCTCCAGAACCTCGTCGCTACTGCTCAAGGGAAGAATGCGACGAAAATCCCCCTCATAGCTCTCTTGTCTCAATGGGATCTCCAGAACCTCGTCGCTGCTGCTCGAGGGAAGAATGCGACAAAAAAAACCCTCATAGCTCTCTTGTCTCGACGGGATCTCCAGAACCTCGGCGCTGCTGCTCAAGGGAAGAATGCGAGGAAAACCCCCCCCATAGCTCTCTTGTCTCGATGGGATCTCCAGAACCTCGTCACTGCTGCTCGGGGGAAGAATGCGACAAAAAAACTCCTCATAACTCTCTTATCTCGACGGGATCTCCAGAACCTCGTCGCTGCTGCTCGAGGGAAGAATGTGGTGAAAACTCCCCTCGTGTGGCCCCGTCAATTGAGCACCATTCACACGATCATCTCCATGAAATCCAAGACGCGGGGTGCGAGAGTGACTGTGGCTGTGGGCACGAGCATACAACCACAAGCATTGTAGAAAGTTCAGAACCAGCACCTAGGGAAATGTCGGAAAAGACCATAAAGCAGTGCTGTTCATTAACTGACAACTACTGTTCCTGCGATGGTAAGGGTGCTGTTTTTTTTCTCCTATAATCCCGGTGGTATACGAGTGGGGTTGTCGTTGCGCCTGAGGCTAACGCTCTAAGCTATATAGAAAACTGTTTATTAGATTATGCCGCTACTCTTTGCAGGAGCCGTTGCAACGACTCTAACGGGGATACCGACCCGGAAACTCGCTGTTGTAACATAAACGGTTCCATTTCTTCTTTGCCCAACCTCAATTGGACCAGCAAGTCACAACACACACCTCATCATGAGGACGAAGCCTATCACCACCACCCCGACCACCACGACAACCACCACCACCATAGCCATGGACGGCAAAGAGCCCAGCATACGGAAAAATTAACATGCTCTAAATGTTTTGCGCTCGCCAAAGACACTGCTCTCACCCTTACTTCTGCCTCCGGGAATTTAGTCAAGTGCTATTGCGCACTTATAAAGGATCTAAGAAAAAGAGCCAAAAGTGCAATCTCAGACTACAAGACACAATCCCAGGTCTCTCTTACCCTATCGGAGGGATGTTGTCAAATCCCGGAAAAATACACGGCAAGCAGCTGCTGTTCCCCCCATTCTCATAATCACGGCGGAACACAAACCGAAAACGCAGCGGTCTCTATCACAGTGGAGGAGGACACCCCGCCCCGCTTTCTATCCCTTGGGGTTACTGGCATGACGTGCACAGGTTGTGCGGACAAGGTCGTGCATGCCCTCAAATCGACATCCGGGGTCCAGAAAGAGAGTGTAAACGTGAACTTCCTAATGGGTAGAGCTGATCTAAACTTCCTTCCCGATTTTGCGCACGAGAACGAGATTATGGAACAGCTGAAGCGTTCCACGGGGTTCAGAGTAGTCATTCTGGATTCAGGAGATATGCAAGATGCTGGGCTCGCCAAAGCCTGGATCTCAATCAACAGCAGTAGTGGTGGCTATCGGGCTATCGAGGGCATCGACGGGATGGCAAAAGCGAAACTTCTCGAAACCGCTAAAGGGAGACATCTGTTCGAAGCTGCATATGACCCTACCGTTATTGGAATCCGAGATTTACTCGCTGCCATAAACGATAGAGATCACGGAACCGAAGCACATCTCGTTCCTATTCCAAGTGAAGAGATGTTGACAGCAGACTTAGAAAAGTCTCATATGAAGATTTTGGGGTGGAAAACTGTCATCGCGGCCTTGTTAACGATCCCGGTGCTGATCTTTGCATGGGCTCCCCTAAACATACCTCGTCCTTCGGTGTATATTACCCAAGTTTTCTTGGCAACTGCGGTGATGGGTACGGCATACAAAATCTACCAGAGCGCATGGGACACCATAGTTCGAGGAGGTGCGGGTGGTAAGAGGATCGACATGGACGTGCTCATCACAGTGGCGACTGGTGCAGCTTGGGCTGCTTCCGTAGCTATCTTAATTATCTCCGGACGCAATGGCAGCTTGACACCGGAGAGCCAACCCGTTGAGCCTTTTTTTGAAACTTGCTGTCTCCTTGTAACTCTCATACTTACCGGAAGATGGATAACGGCCAAAGTGAGGATGTGGGCGCTCAAGAGGGTTGTTGATGTTGGAGAAGAAGCGCCAAAGGATAAAAACACCACCAAGGCTATGCTTTCTGTCGAAGGCGCTACTCCAGAAACGATAAGCCCTGATTTGCTACAATACGGCGATGTCTTGGTCGCTGAAAAGGGCGACGTAATCGCTACAGATGGGGTAGTAGTTGACGGTAAGGCAGAGGTGGATGAGAGTCTTTTGACCGGCGAGAGCAAACCTGCAGTTATGAAGGCTGGCAGTCTTGTAATGGCTGGAAGCACTGTAGTTACAGGGAGCATCCGGTTTCGGCTCACAAGGCTCCCACACGAGAACACCATATCTGTTATTAGGCGTATGGTCCGGTCTGCTGGTGGAGAGAAACCAAAAATTCAGGCGATTGCAGATAAAGTTGCCCTCTATCTCACTCCTCTCATACTTGGGGTTGCAACAACAGTGTTTCTTATCTGGATTCTTGTTCACGGACTTACTCGCCAGGAAACTTGGGGAAAGAGTGCCGTTATTGCTATCACTTACGCCGTCGCTACTCTTGCAGTATCTTGCCCTTGTGCAATCGGACTGGTTGTTCCGATGGTCATTGTCTTCACCAGTCGAGTTGGCATCAGGAAATGTGGCCTGTTACTTGTGAACCCGAAGGCCCTGGAGAGAGGGTGGAACGCCAAAAAGGTTGTTTTTGACAAAACCGGAACCTTGACTACTGGGAAGCTGAATGTGGTTACAGCAAAGTGTTTCCTCAATGGAGAATGGGGTGGTTTTGACGCCGATGCGGAACAAATAGTTCGAACTCTCTGCAAAAATGAGAAACACCCAGTTGCCCGGGCACTAGCAGCAAAAGTGGGTTCCGGTGAAGAAATCTCAGGTCTTGAGGTTGAAACCATCATCGGGAAGGGCTTGCAGGCCATTTCTGAGAGGAGAACCATCAGAGGTGGTCAGCCAAGCTGGACCGCGACCGGAGGCGAAAGCCACCCTTTGGTATTGGAAATCGTCGAACAAGGACTCAGCGTATTTACTATCTCGATCGATAACAGTCTACGGGCCATATTTGGCCTAGAAGATACTATACGACCCGAAGCCCCCGCAGTGATTGCGGAACTTCGCCGCAGGAAAATAGAGGCCTATATTTTTTCAGGGGACCACAAGGGGGCCGTTGAGAAGGTTGCCACAGAGCTCGGCTTCCCCAATCAAAACTATAGATATGGCTGCTCGCCCGACCAGAAATCCGCTGAGATTAAATCTCTCCAGGAAGCCTCCCCTGGCACGGTCTTGTTTCTGGGCGACGGCACAAACGATGCAGTGGCACTCACCCAGGCCGATGTTGGTTTTTCGTTTGGGGACTCAACCGAAGTCGCTGTCTCCGCTTCCGATATTGCTGTTTTGTCTACCTCTTTGAATTCGATCCTTGAATTCTTGGACCTATGTATCCGCGTCAAGCGATGCATTCTGGCAGGCTTCTCTTGGGCCATCTTCTGGAATTTATTCGCTGTTCTCGCAGCAGCTGGTGCTTTCGTTAAATTCCGGATCGAGCCCCAATGGGCGGGTCTAGGGGAGCTCGGTAGTGTCTTACCCGTTGTTTTCATCGCAGCACTAGTAGGGATTTTTTGGCGTTAGACTTCCCCAATCTAGTCCTTAGCTCTCTCTCGATATTTCAAGATCATTTTCTTTCCTTCCTTGTCACTCTACCATCACTGCGGGGTTCCTTGATAAGGCTGTTATTTTTGTGAGGGATCCGCGAGCATTTGGGTCCAGTCAATAAACTTTCAACAGCCTTCATTTTTTTGGCCATGTTCATAGCCAGTGGGTGGATAATTTTGCACATAGATGCTGAATAAACTAGCGATTCAACATATTTTATTTCTTTTACATTATAGGTGATTGTCACAAGGTAGCGGAACCTCTACACCTTCTCTCTCGCATAGAAAAAAAGGGAATAAATGGTGCCAATTGGAGACGAGTCACTCCAACTTGCATACCGGTAACAACATTCACATTCCCATAGCATCGACACCTATTTACGTCATAAATTTATCCTTGCCGACGTTATTCAACAAGACGCAACTGAATTTATCCCTAACCCTTGGCTATGCCACACGCCAAACCACCGCTTAGTTTGAACATATTGAGTCCCCTGGTATGATACCGTAAATCCCGTTAGTCACGGCCGCCTTCCTAGGAAATACCTGTAGACAAGATGATAGACCTTCTAATAGCACCTCAAGCAGCATGGGACCAACTTGAAAACCCCGTGCTAAGAGTGACGTTTCCAAATTCGCTGCCATGTTGACCACAAGGAGGCTGCGACACAGATACCTACCGTGCTCGATTACTGTACTTTAGACTACTACCCCGTAAAAAAGCTGTCGAAACGTTCGTTCCTGTCCGAATGAAACGTGTAACACTAGCCTATTTGAGTAATCGTTATAACAGGAAAAAAAAAACCTTGTCGTCCAAAAAGAAGCCGGAAGGTGCAACCCAGTGCTCAGAACACCGCGAAATCCGTACCGCTCAGTATGGGCCACGATGAAAACGACCCGGTCCGCATAGATTTATAGTACTGTACTCCCATTCACCCAAATAAACCAGTGCTACACATTCCAATTCGGACCGGAACGTCTGGACAGCTCAAGTGATACACGAGTATGATACAGTACCGTGCAAACGACGGCGATTCCACATGCAACATTAATTACACGCAAGTAATAAGGCATGAAGGGGGAGGGGGGGGGATGCTCCCAGCGGTTGAATTCGTGAGGTTGGTGACGAGGATGGAAGAGTACACAATGGGATCTCGACCTTTCTTGATTATTGGTGATGGAATTATCTCACCTGCGGCCGTTCAAGCTGGAAAACGAAACCACGATAGAGTCTGTATTCTGTAGGGACTGGGTCAACTCGCTGGGGATGTGCGAGTTGTGGCGAGTTGTGAACGAAGGTTTATTACAAGCCATAGATGAAGTGCGTCATGGTCTCTACCCCGCGATGCGCTCTCCGGCCACAGATCTACAATCATAGCTCCACCCAAATCCTACCCTTCTTCTCACAGCTAACTTAAGCTCTACCCCTCCTGCATCACCACCGATATTCCCAGTTATCGTTATTCCTGTTGCACCACGGAGGGATTTTTCCGTCAACTCAGCCCCCTTCCCGAAAACATGTGTCTACCGCCCATAATTCGTTCAATGCAATATCGCTGTTCATAAACTCAGTCGAAAGGTCCCAAATCCACCTTCAAGCAAGGATAAGTATCAGTTTCCCACGGTGATAACATCTCACTACGTGAGATATCCAGCTCGCGGCAGTGGTCAAGACGCCAAGAACCAATAAGCTCCTATAATTAGCAGGAGACTATAGATCTCACAATACCGGTAAGTCACAGACAGTCAAGGGATCTATCAAGTACCGGTAGGGCAGGAAGTTAACAACAGATCCTACCCTATGGGGTGTGGGGGTGAAGCCAGGGGACTGGAAACCTTAGCCTTTCTCGGTAAAGCGGCAGGGAAAAAAAGATGGTCAGTTTCGAGGTGGTTGAACTTGATCTAGGTCATGTACTCGTACTCGAGTACATAGGACATGGTCCCTCTATCTAACTATCTATCGCCCCACGGGCGGGGGAGCGGAAGAAGAAAAAAGATAAACAAGGATTGAAAGAAGAAGAAAGAAAAAAAATCCGAATTTATGATACGATACCTCTTTGAAGTTTACTCTCTTGTCCAAAAATAAGTGGATCGGGCTGTGAAGCTGTCAACTTTCAAACAATCCCCGTCGATCGCGCTGCAAACTTGCACTATTTTTCCCGATGAAGGGTCTGGCATGAAACAATTACAAGCTGGTATAAAATATCTGTCGGAAGGATTGCTTCAATGCGGTGGAAAGTACCGACGTGTTCTAGCCACGTACCTACCGTGACCACTCGGGACGTCAGGATCTAGGAAAGGACAGGAGTCAGATAGATATATATAGACGCTCCTGATTCCTATGCAAGACAGTCTCAGGTGCATCTATCGACCGACAATCAAGCAAGGAATTCTCTCTCTCTCTCTCTCTCTCTTTCTCTCTCTCCACTCAACCGATACCCCTCCATACACCTCTCATATCATACCACCTCCCATCTCCCGCTCCCCCGCGTATGTGTGCGCTGCCCGGGGCAATACCTTCAAGCCCCACCCGAGTGATCAGGTATGACAGCATCGTCACCCGATCGATCCTGACCACGAGCAAAAAGAAACCAACAAAAGACCGATGGGAGGATCAGAAGGGATGTAAGAAATCGTGTGGGAGGGGTCAACGTATCATGATTAATGACCTTCTCCTGTAAAGTGTTTTTTTTTTTTTATCTCGTGCTGCATGTTTGACGGATGGACGGATAAACGGGTGGATTCGGGACCACTTCCGTAACCGGAAAGTGCGCGGGAGTGCTGTTGCTGTCGCTCGGAGTGGATATGGAAAGAGCTCTTGTCTGTCTGTCTGTCGCTGCACCTGGATATCCGTGGAAATGGGCATCGCATCTCATGTAGTTAGAGGTGAGAACCGATAAAGACCGCACCGATCTATACACACTTCTAATCCACCTCTATCGATCGCCCAAGGGCCCCATCAGATATCAAGTTTTCCATCCGGGCTGGGATGTGGTAGTCGCGGCAGCGCTGCTGAAGCTGGTGCCAAATCTGTCTTGGAATCTCATCATTCGAAACACCCCTCTTGCGTCCTTGTGATTCTTAGCAGCGGGAGGTTCTCAAAACGTGATTCCTTTCCCAATTGGACTTCCCTCCATCCGGCATTTACGCGATTCGTGGAAAAGGGGGGGGTATCGCACGTGAACTTGCCAAGTATCATAACTTATCCATCAGGACTCAGCCACTCCGTAAACGGGTAATGTGTTATCATGAAAAATCACTCGTGCAATTGTCTCAAGTATTGTACAGTACTTGGTTGGGTTACGAGACTGAACCACAATAGTTGCCAGTGGAAATAATCAGATTCTAAAAAAATCAAAAGGCAAAACATCTCGCGGCGAGTCCACCAAGGACATACGATCCCTCACTCGGCAGGAAATCAAGAGAACAGGCAATTACATTTCAATGGGAGCTTTGCCACAGTGGAAAGCGATGAACCATCTGATGTGTTAGAAGAAGTATGATATCACACATTGGAAAGGATCTGTACGATCAATACATGAAGGATAAAGGGTGGTCTACTCCCCTTTGTTATCCCCCGCACAGCATGTGGACAAAAAAATCCTCGGGGATTGAACAGTTTCTCACATCAAAAATTGGCAATAAAAAAACCCTCACTCCTCAATTTCTTAGTTACTGCTCATCCGAAAACTGAAACTCCTTCTTCCAAATTCGTAATTCAAAGCAACCATGTGGCTACAATATCCCATTAGTCAATTCGTCGAGTCGATTGCCATCACAACAGTGTCCCAACATTTGACGAGTCGAAACATGGTGGTAGGGGGGGGGGGGGGGGGGCCGGGGCGCCCCGGAAAAGATTGGGAAGAAGGAGGAAAAACTTTTTCCTGGGGAAACATATCCCCCTGGACAGGCCCCGGGAAATTTTTCCTCTGCCCCCGTTTCACCTAATCCTAAAAACTTGGGAAATAAAACTTTTTTAAAAAAAAATTTCGGGTTTCCACAAAAGAGCTCAATCCCCCGAAAATTTTTTCCCCCCCCCGGAAAGTAATTAAAGGCCCCCCCTTACTTTTGAAAACCCCGGGATTTTAAAATCTTGGATTGAATATTCCCGTAAATTCCAAAAAAGGAAAAATCTCGGAATCCTTTTAATTTCCTAAGTTGGAAAAAACCCCCCCCCCCCCCCCCCCCCCAACCGTTAAATAAATAATTTTTTTTCCAAGTTTAGATTTTGGGAGTTAAAATGGGGGGGGGATGGGTTGGCTAGGGGGATACCATTGATATGGGGTTTTTTATAAAATTTTATTTTTTTTCCTGGGGTTCCCATTAGGGGGTTCAGTCCCCCCCTCCCCTTTCTTTCGGGGGATAAAAGATTTACTGTATAAAATTGGGGTTTTGATTTTCCTTTTTTTCCCCCCCCCCCCCCCCCTAATCTCCGTGTCCTGAAACAAAAACCTTCAAGAAGGATTATCATACCGCAGTAGTGTTTTTCCCCCACTCGGTAAAAGCCTGAGCTTGCTAACTGTTGTCGGATCCCGTTAATTGGTTATTCGCAATTCTGTTAGCCTGGAAAACTAGAAACTATCGCGGGATGATGATTCTAGGATTGACAAGAGATTAGAGGTGATACAGTGCTTTAATTCTCTCGAATTTAAGCTTTAGGCTGGCTAGCTGGTGAAATCGAATTATGCTTGAAAGTTGATATCTATATGTCTCGTTCTCTCTCTCTCCCCCGGAGTATAGCATGTGTATATCAGCGGACACAAGAGGCCCCCCTCCCCGTGATCATAGGAACTGGATTAAGGATTTTCAGGGCACCATTTCTCCAACTACTCTCATTCCAGCTACCGTTTCATCTCTTTTGCCCATGTCTCCATGTGATGTAATTCATTCTTCCATAGTGATATCCCCGTGGTCACTCATTCCATCATCCTCACCTAGCACCCTATAGTAATCCAAAAGTACAACCACCCATCTCCG